AATTTGAAATATATTTCCGGTTAAGAATTTTGTACGTTCGTCTAACGTTTGGAGAAACTTTGTTACACTTGGCGAGTTTAAAGCTCGTTTTAAATCTGGGATCATTGCCGCAATCAGGATTGATGCGATATCTATGACTTTATCTGTGTAAACGTGGGACATTGTCACGACTAGGGCATGTAACACCGATATTTCGAGATCTCGAAATATCGATATTTCGATATTATAATATCGAAAATTCAATATCGAAATATCGATATTTCGATATTTCATTATCGAAATTTCGCAATTGTAAGATCTTTCAATTTTGTTGCAACATTATGGATTTTTAAAATCTGTTCACCGTGGAATTTGAGTTAATCTGATCACCCCCTCTCAGCGGGTGACAGGGGGTGTGGTCAAAAACATTTTTTTGCATATTTTAAACAATTTTCACACCAACTGTACCCCATGATCCCCTGTATCAGAAAAGTGACATTTCAGCTTCCTGTCACACCCCCTACCCTCAGGGGGTGTGGTTTTCTTGAGAATACAAAAACCAGCATAACTTTTAAATGGGTGAAGATTTTTCAATTCTGTTTTCGACATTTGGTACACTAAATTAACTCCGAGGATACGACCACACCCCCTCGTACTTAGGTGGCGTGGTCTGGGGCAAAATGAGATTGTTACCGAAATGTAATCTGAAGACGAAATACAGCAAAATTAGGTTTCCCGCGCTGTCGTGTGCGTGCCTGGGGTGAAGCGAGACTGCTTTTTCGGTATGTGCGCTTGCTATGGATTAAGTTATTGACTAACCTTACCTACTCTAACCTTTTACTTTCTGTCTTATATTTTTCTTTTGACAAACTCCTTGTGACAAGGATTATACCCCTTGGCGGCCTGTATCATAAAATTATTTGACCTACTAACCACACCCCCTGACCTAACGGGGTAAGAACATAGCATGCAATCATCACGGTGTTTTATTACTACAACTTTAACACCTCCCTCAAGTAGTTTTTCTCAATCTCGTCTAAACGTAAACCACGTAAAATTATGCAATTAAATTCAAAATTTAAGATTTAAGTTAATGACATAATTTTAATCAGTTTGTCCGTTAATCAGTTTGTTGATCCGCAACGACAGAAAGATTAGAGCATTTGCACGTAACTAACTTGCGCGATGGTCATGCATCGATTTTCTGCCCAGCTTGGCAGCCACACTGCAGGGAAATTTGAGGGAGTTAAAACAAAAAAATAAAACATAAATAAAATTTAAAAACTTTAAAAAATATATTTTTTTTATTTCAAAAATAAAATATAATTATTATTTTTTATTTGCATTTTTGTTTAAGAGCATAAATTTCCCTTTTATGCTCTTACAGGGGAAATCTGCATATTTCTCATGATGGGGAAATTTCCCTTCTCACGTTAATGATGTTTCTCGTATACAAATTTCTCACTTGAAAGGACATTTTCCCTTTTAATATAAACTAGCTTTCCCCCGGCGCCTTGCGCCGAGAAATAACAAAAACTACACTCTGGTATTTCATTTTATATGTATGCAATATTTATATATTGATTACTAAATGAACCTCTCCCTGTCCACTCCTCTCACCAATTTCTCAAATTTCTCCTCCCGTCTCACCAATTTCTCAAATATCTCCCTCCCCTCCCCTCTCACCAATTTCTCAAATATCTACCTCTCCCTCTCCTCCCTTCTCACCAATTTCTCAAATTTCTACCTCTCCCTCTCCTCCCTTCTCACCAATTTCTCAAATTTCTATCTCTCCCTCTCCTCCCTTCTCACCAATTTTTCAAATTTCTACCTCTCCCTCTCCACTCCTCTCACCAATTTCTCAAATTTCTAACTCTCCCTCGCCTCTCACCAATTTCTTAAATTCCTACCTCTCCTCTCACCAATTTCTCAAATTTCTACCTCTCCCTCTCCTCTCACCAATTTCTCAAATTTCTACCTCTCCCTCTCCTCTCACCAATTTCTACCCCTCACTCTCCTCTCACCAATTTCTCAAATTTCTACCTCTCCCTCGCCTCTCACCAATTTCTTAAATTCCTCACTCTCCTCTCACCAATTTCTCAAATTTCTACCTCTCCCTCGCCTCTCACCAATTTCTTAAATTCCTCACTCTCCTCTCACCAATTTCTCAAATTTCTACCTCTCCGTCTCCACTCCTCTCACCAGTTTCTCAAATTTCTAACTCTCCCTCTCCTCTCACCAATTTCTCAAATTTCTACCTCTCCTCTCCTCTCACCAATTTCTCAAAAATATTTCGTTTTTTTTAATATATAATTTTCATTTTTTTGTTCAAAAGCAGGCAAAAATGGTCACCAAAAATTACAAATTTTTTAGAACAAATAAACCAAAATTCTTAATTCGCAATTAAAAAAAAATTTGGCCTAAAACGAATATTTATTTGTAAAAATAGCAGGTAATCTAAAAATTGAAATTTTCTGAAATTAAATGATTTCTGATGTCAAGAATGCCTTTAATTTCATTTTAAAATACAAACTTGGGGTATCTTAGCGTTTATTTTGTGGAAATGACTTTGCAAATTCTTTTTTTAAATCAATTTCACAAAAAAAATATTTCAGCAATTTTTTCGAAAGTATAAAAAAATATTTCGGGGTTTTTAGGAAAATTAATAACCGGATACTTTACTGTTGACATGTACATACAAATATACATACATACATGCTACACATATGCATGCATGGCAATGAGCGTTGTGGAGTGAGCCATGCAGTGAGAGAGCGAGAGAGAGAAAGGATGAGAGTTCCCATAAGCTACAACGTGGATTGCATACCCTCCCTTGTTATCTATTGAAAGGTCGTAGGCGCCGATCTTAATAGTAGTTATATTTCGGGGTTTTTAAGAAAATAAATAAACCGTTGCAAACAAAATGTAGTAATAGGGTGAAACCAAGTCGGAGACCCCTCTTTATGGTCACGGGGTCATGGTACGTCAAAACCATGTGTATTTTCGAAATCCCCGTCCCAAAATACGTCTAGAACGATCTAAACGACAAAAATTCGACATGTGGCGTCGTCTATACGGTCAGACGGTCATCGCACGTCAAAACCATGTCGATTTTCGAAATCCCCGTCTCAAAATTCGTCTAAAACGGTCGAAACAACAAAAATGCGACATGTGGCGTCGTCTATACGGTCAGACGGTCATCGCACGTCAAAACCATGTCGATTTTCGAAATCCCCGTCCCAAAATTCGTCTAAAATGGTCGAAACAAAAAATTCGACATCTTTGAACGTTGGCGTCGTCGCCATGGCGCCGTCACCTTAAGGTAAGGTAATCGGGGTCTGATAAGCAGGCATACTTTTACTGTTGGCATTTACATACAAATGAGTACATATGTACATGTTGCACTGCACATATGCATGGCAATGCAGGGTTGTGGAGTGAGCGATGCAGTGAGAGAGCGAGAGAGAGAAAGGATGAGAGTTCCCATAAGCTACAACATGGATTGCATACCCTCCCTTGTTATCTATTGAGAGGTCGTAGGCGTCTGTTTTAATAGTAGTAGATTAATTATGTCACAAATATATTTCTTAATTTAACTGAAAATTTCCCGTCCAACATAAATTGTCTCACGCAAATTTCTCAACTTAAGGGAAAATTTCCCTTCTTTCACAAATTTCTCAATTTAAGGGAAAATTTCCCTTCTTTCACAAATTAATTGTTGCATGCGCAAGTTTATCAATTTAAGGGAAAATTTCCCTTCTTTCATATGTTAATTGTCGCATGCGCAAATTTCTCAATTTAAGGTAAAATTTCCCCTGAAACAGAAATTAACTGTTGCATACGCAAATTTCTCAATTTAAGGGAAGATTTGCTTTCTAGCAAATTAATTCTGTTACATTAATTTCTTAATTAATTCCAAATTTAAGCAAACATTTCCGTACATAAAATAAATTCATTTTCTCATACACAAATTTCCAAATTGAAGGGAAAACCTAAATACATCAAATATATACATTCTCTGATACATTGATTTCTCAATTTAAGGGAACATTTCCATGTATAAAATAAATGCATTCCCTCATACGCAGATTTCGAAATTTAAGAGAAAATTTCCATGCATAAATTAAAATTCATGATTCGGGTTGATTTGATGAATATGAATATGATCACTACATAAACAATTAGCATACGTGACAAAACGAACTTGGTTAAAACGAACGAGGAGACAAATGTTTGAATGCATAACCCTGCATGGGTTCACTACTTTGCGTAGTCAAATCAGGATACAGAATTGCTGCAGACAACCTTGGAAAATGAAATTTGATCAGATTTCTTACTCAGCAATCTTTTGGATGACTCAGTATATATCTCATCCGATGAACTTTGCTTAGTCAGATTTTGTCACCCTTTGCTATACAATTGATTTATACAATGGCAGAATTCACCTTGGTTCGAGGGGGTCGGTCATTTAGGACCCACGACTACAGTGGGATCTGGTCAAATTGGTATGTCAAATTTGGTCTGGACAATTTGGTCTCACGTATTAAATAATGAAATTGATTGAATTAATGAAAGTTAAGCTTTAATATGTATGCATTTTAAAAGGAATTTGACGAAGAATTTTCTGCTTGTATTCATTTCAAGGGGCCGTAGGAACCCTGGCGTCTTTCCAACGCCCAGCAGCATTTACGTATTTCAATTTTACTTCAAAATGTAGGGTAACTAATTGTCAGTCAGACTGGCCTGTGCCATTCAAATTGAGCTCATTTAACAATTAGGTTTGCATGCGCTCAGTAATTTTTGCCCAGACTTATCAAATAATAATTCACTCACAATTAACAATTTTCAAGTACCTAATTTAAAATCAGATTGGATGTTGGATAATTAATTACAAATTCATTGGAAATTCATTTTTACATTCCCCGCTTAGAATTAAAAATTAGTAAAAAAAACCTCGCTGAGGTTTTCTGGTTGAGAGTGCAATCATTTCAACAAGATCAAACGACCGATTAACCAAAAGCTTCGCGATTTTCAACGAAAAGTTTTATTATTGTAATTAGTAATTTAATTATGTACGAATTAATTTAGTAATTTGGTCAACTATGCCATAAGCAGAAGATGCGTCAAACCAAAATGCATAGACCAAACTAACCAGACCAAATTGGCTTGACCAAATCGGCTAGACCAAATTGGCGAGACCGAATTTGTTTAAGACCAAACTGACCCGACCAAATTGACCGGACCAAATTGACCGGTCACCGAAAGTTTCAATATATAAAATTGAATCCTTAACAGCAATTCAAAATCAAGTCTGCATCAAAATAGATTATAAGGTAGGTAAATATCTATCACTTCTAGGATTTTACTGCTCTTGGAAGTTAGTTTTAATTTAGTTTAGGCATAGTTGAAGTTATTTTGCAAAGGTTTAAGAAACTCGATTTAAAAACTATTCAATAAATGAGTTCTACTCAATGGTTTTAAATTATCGTCCCCCGTATTTTGGAATCTAATACTGGTAACTTGCCTAATTTCGAGTATAGCATCCCCCTCGTATGGAAACGACTGCTAAGTTTACCAACTTGTTTCCATTACTGTTGGAAATGCCCTTTGGGATGGGACAAGACCAGTCATACCTTCATCTCCACCAAGTCTCCAGGTTTGCTAATTGAATGGATAATTGTGGTATTTGTCATCACTCCTGCCATCCTTGTCTCCTCTACTGTCATAATTCTTCTCAACATCTATGGGCTCATTTCACCACCTCTGACAGTTTTGTTGTTGTGTAGCATTTTCGAGATAACATCGTTTCTTCTCGTAACGGTTGAATTGAGTATTTATCTACACGTCGAGCAGATTAAAAAACCTGCAATTATTTTGTACAGCGGAAAGAGAAAATATGTATGATTTTAAATTTAAATGATACTTAAAATAGGATGTAACCAAAATTATTATTTTTTCAGGATCCTCGCGCAAAAATATTGCTCCGCTTGCACTTATCTTGAACATAAATGTCGTGCTTTTTTCCATATATCCTTATTTCTTGTTCACCCTTCTACTCTACTTTGAGTTGGATGTGGGCTACCTCTTTTTGAAATATGTGCTGCACTTGGAAATAAATAGTTTATTCGGGCACCTTGCTACACTTCCACTACGCCTTTTACAGTTTCTCCCTGCCCTTCAATACTTTCGTCTGCTGGCTTTCTTTCTTTGCATGTTACCGCTATCAGCACTACTTGTCCTCGATGGGATTCGTAAATTGGACTTGTGGGCAATTTCAGTCCGAATTTCGAGACATACTGCTAGAAAACAAGTCTTGAAGTATTTCGAATTAACTATAATTCTGCAGCTGATTAATGATATTTTATCCCGGGGTGCAGCCATAGCATGGCTGCCATACTGATGGAATTTGCACTACTTTTAAGTGTGCTGTTTAATTTCGTGTCCATCAGGCTGCACAAAGTAACACCGATGCCAACCTCTACTTCCCGGCAATAGCGGTCCTGATTCCAGCGATTATCGATGCTTTGCTACCATTGGGGATTAGCGTGAATGAGAAGACGGTAGAATTGAAGAGGAAATGGGAACGACATTTAGAACGATGTCACGATCGAGGATACCTAAGGAGAGTATTCATGGCTTTTAAACCGTTATGTGTTTTCTGTGGCGTGGGAGGATTCACTGTTTTGAAATTCATGAAAGGATTGAAAATCTGGTTTTATTCGCGTATACTGAACTACACGGTTCCTGCGTTGTTGTCAAACCGGGGCGAAATGACAACTTGAGATAATCTAGGAACATCAAACTGTATTAAGTATGATAGGATTTTCTCCTGATTATATTTATTAAAGATGGTTAGTTGAAGGCAAATTGTACTAAAAGTTGTTATTTTTCTGAAAAAGTTGTTTAAGACAGGATTGCAGAAATCTCACTTTTACAAATCTCACTTGGTAATATATCTACATGTATGATTTGCATGTAGATTTAATAAATAATTTTGTAAATAATTTTGTAAATAATAAATGTTAACTCTCAATATGAATGTTAGCTCTCAACCTGCTATTGTGTTAACGTCTGCATACAAGAAAAACCAAAACTCAATAATATTCTCTGGTCTTTACATCAACAGGGGGTGGTCTCAGACCCAACAAAGTATATATGAGAGAGGATGACGGATACGTTCCATCGCTTTTCGCATCGATTTCACTGAATCAAATAAAATTAATTGTAAATGCAATTGTGGGTACAAGGACAAATGTACCACAACATTTTTTGAATTCTGTGCAACCACACCCCCTATAAAAATAAAGGAAGAAAGTTCGGAAAAATGAGAAAGTCAATGTACATCGTGTAGAACAAGAGTTAGACCTATACTTGCATTTGCAATTTGACTTCCCCTTGGAATATGAACATTTTAATGCATCAAGAGTTTCAAAATTCGAAAATTGGCGGTTTTTTTACATACACAGAAATCCTTAAAAACCGAATGGTACCAGCCATTTACTTCGGACAACCCGATGCCAGATTTTTCTCCTTGGGAACAGCTACATTTTCAGCTTTTGTTGCCCGAAGGGAAACGCTGGTACCATGAGAAATTTGGGGTCAAAGTTTCTGAGGGAGGGACTTATACGGCAAGTGCCGTAACTAACGAGGGCTAGTGATATATCAACACATCATTTTTTTGTATTTTGATAAGCCTACATTTAAGTAACCCAGTATAGTTAATTAAATGAGACGCATGATTGAGTGAGGTTGACAAAGTGCGACGGATACGGCACTGACGCACGAATCCGCGCGATGGTGGTGGATACCCACCAGAACCCAAGTTTAACACTTTGTCTTGCGAAATATGGAAAATGCTTTTGTGGAACACTTCCTCTGGTTTAACTCATATATTCTGAATCCTCTCATCAATACCTTTCCAACGATACGACACTTCACAACACTCCTTTATGGGGTGTTGTGAGACTTGAAATTTTCATCCAAAATTTTTCAAAGTTATTTTTTTGGAAATCTCGTTTTTAGAATTTCAAAAAAAGCTAGGAAAAAAAAACATTAGGAAACTTTTGGCGAAAGTAGCATCTCGATATCGTTTTCCGTTATCGAGAAATCCGCTGCACAGTTTTCGGATTTTGCGACTTTAAGCCACTCCCCTAGGGGCAAGGGGCGGAGTAGAACCAAAGTAGTGATACATGTGTACTCACAAAAATCAGGTATACAAAGTGTGCAAATCTTTTCAAAATCATTTTTTTTCTGTCTTTCGAAATTCCGGTTTTGATTATTGTAAGTCCATAACTTTTGAAGTTTGCGTGGGATTTTCAAAATTTTGCACTTAAAATGATCACAAAAGTCGAAATTTTAAGAAAAAAGTAAAAACTCGAAATCTTTAATTTTTCAAATATTTTTCGGATTTTTTCGACTAACCTCATCCCTAAAAAATCCAATTTTTTTAATTATTTTTTTTTAAATTCATGATATATGAAAGTCCTTGTCATGATTCTGTTCAAAAATTTTGAAAATTCGCCCATGATTTCAAAATTATTGGCGGTTTTAAGAATAAAAACATTCCAATTTGACGAATATTGCGCCACGCCACGGCGCTAAATATTTGTTTTACACGGAAATAAGAATAAATCCTTTATCTAGGGTTCTAGTAGATTCTGAAAAACATAGTGGACCGACACCTCAAAGGGTTCCTTGTTACCTACACGGATATGGATAGAGACGTACTTTCCTCGTATATGTGCGTGTCGCCTCATTTGCATAAATCTAACTATGCCAATTTTCGGCGATACAGGGCTTTCCAGGTTGAATAAACTGTCTCTCGCAAATGCGTAAAAATATTCAAATGAGGTGACCGGCTATAAAAATTCGAGCACACACAATGGGGCAGACATTTAATGATATTATCATTAAGTGGAACTGTCGCCGTGTCATTAAATGACACGGCGATAGACCCATTCACAAATTACGTAACCTAAATTTGGCTAGGTTTGGTCTAGAAAGTTAGAAGTTATGCATAATAATCATAATTCACTTGTTATGATGCATGATGCATCACAACACGTGCCAGTTAATCAATTAATTAGACCAAATAATTTAAGATGCAGAAATTGGCGGCTCCGTATCTGATTGGGTAGAGCGACTAATAAATTTCTTTCCGCTCATTGATGTGTCTGTAAACAATTAGTTTATACACTCATCCTCACATAGAATCGTTGCGCTATATTACGTGTGACTAACCGGTAAGATCGCTCATTGGTTTAATTTGCAGTATCTTAGGGGTTGCAGTAGGAAGGAGTTTTCTTGTGATTTTCATATCTTCAGCCAAGAAATGTTTACTGCAGATGACTTTTCCTTTATAAGAGGCCCCTGCGTCAAGATTTAATGTTGTACACCAAACTAGCGTCCTTTGGCCAGAGGTAACAGCAATGAAAAATTAATGCCTAAGGTACTATAAGTCAGATACATATGTAGGTTGGTACTAAAACGCTACCTGTGATCTTCCGGGAAAGCAAAAAATGTAAGTCCAGAACTTGATGCATTTTCCCGCAAATTCCTGCATCCCATCACTACGCAACGATGCATTTTGGTCTAAAAATACACGGAGAGATTATGATTTAGTTATTTTGTAATATTTTATAATTTCATGGTTTCTGATTTGAAATTTTATGATATTAAATTATGATTCTAAATTGAATTGAACCTGAATTGAGAAGTCAAGAACTTTCCATTTTCTCCTGATACCGAGTTTTATGTGAATTTTAGAATTTCAATTTTGTGGATGGGGTTACCCATACCGATTTTAACCGAAAAATAGAAACATGGGGTGCGTGTAACCTAATTATTTTATACAAGGTAAATATTGAAAATTTTGTGAAACTGGAGACTCGAAATTTGGTATAAATTTAGAAAATGATAACATAATGGTAGATTCATTAAGTATTATCGCATTATCGCATGAATGTATTAATAAACTATTAATGCATCACACAAACTGGTGCTGGTTATATGAGGCTGCACTGGAGGTTTGTTTAAATTTAAATTTGCGCAAATAAATAAAAAATACAAAAATGGCAATAAGTTTTAGATTTTTTTTTAGAAATAAAAATAATTTACAAGATTCACTCACCAAACAACCGAATCAGCACCGCAGAAAATACGAACCCGGTCAATATATCAAATTAAAGTACTTAGTTAATTATGAGTGAAGTCTATTAATTAGTTGGAACACTTGTTATAATTTATAATTAACTCTCTAATATAATTATTCGACACAATTATTAAAAATAGAGAGAACAACACAACGAGTGTGAGCCTGGATGAGTGATAGAAAGTTCCTTTCCCACTTACAAAAAGCATCATCGCGAAGCACACATCAGAGGTGAGCACCCAACGAAAATGTCGGGTCAGCTCAACCCAAACGGGCTGAGCTGGGTTAGGCTGGAATCTTGGTCCCCGGATTTGGGTTGGGTTCATACCTGTTCACACTCACTCAATAAAGTGAAATTGAATAATGAATGAGTGTGAATTATTCAAAATCAAATGAATTTTGAACGAATAAATAACCTTCATTCATTTACTCATTGAATATTGAATGAATGAATACAATTTTGAAAACGGGATGAGTGAATGTACTAAACGAGTTTTGAATAAATTTGTCACTCATTTATCCCAATCTGAAATTAATGAGTATCTGCGGTCTGACATTTCCCAATCCTCCATTATGATTGTGGTAGAACTTTTTAAGTATTAAGTATGTGCCTCATTGGTAATGAGTCATTACATTTCGGGAACCCTTTTAGCCGATTTCTTTATTACCCTTTAAATTTATGTAGACTTTTCAGTTCTAGTTGGCCCGCATATGAATAAATATTATATATTTTACGCCACTGAATCACCAAATTATTTAAGAACATATTGTGTGTGGTAAACGACAATTTCGCAATTTTCGAATAAATGAATAAATATTTGAATGAATGAAGGTTTGAAGGAATGAATATTTGAATGAATGTTGTCCATACTACAGTACATGTGAATGAATGAATAATTGAATGAATAACTTCTCGTTGAACACGTATGGTTGGGCTGGGTTTTCAAAAAAGGGACCCAGCTCACCTCTGGCGCACATATTATGGTAGGTACACAAAACGGTTCCCGGCGCAACGGCTACATCAGCTGGAATCAGTACATAACATTTATTTAAAAAATATTTAGAATTTTTGTACCTGTTATTTTTAGGCCTCATTGAAATTAAAATCTAAGTCGTAAATATTAGGTGATACTCGCTGATGTGGATATCTGTTACAAGGAACGCGTGGAAATTGCCTACGTCAATTTAATTTATTTTGCGACACAATCGTTAATTGTATACGATTCAGGGAAAATCTGGATAGCTATTGGTAACAAGTGAACGCATTATTAACAACCTTTCGTATTATAAATGACTCTTTGAATTGTTAACAAAATTTCCTTTTGTTTACAAAATTCCAAATCAAATAGTATAGTTAATGTTCTAACAACGTGTATTAGATACACGTGTATTAGTTATTAGAAACACACCTTACACCTAACGTGTGCGTAACGTGTCTATTTTCATAATATGTCAATAGCGATACCTAAGTTCCATGTTTCGTTCGTGGAAAAATTAATAGCGAAAATGCAATTATTTTTCAAAATTATATCGATTAGAAAATTGGGGTCCGTAATCGAGGCAGTGACCAAATTCTGGTCCAAAATAATTTTCTACATTATTTCCAGCCATATTTGACTCAATTTTGACGATTTTGTGACAAAAGTCAAATTTATCAAAATTCGCAAAAAAAACTCGGGTATACTTTAGAATAGGGGCGGGTCGCTATCGGGTCGAGTGATACGTCAAATTGTTCAGTTCGACGAGCTGAACAAGAATATCGAAACCGGAAAGCGCGGAAATGCCCCGTTCGAAAGTAATGGCGGGCCAAAGTTTTTATTTTTTATTGCATTTTTGGACGTTTCAGAGAATTCTAAGACTTTGTCTCACTTTCCCCCATGGCGGGAAATTTTTTGGGGTATTTTGAGATTTTGGCGGGAAATGAGATTTTTGGTACAATATTGAAATTCCATCACTATTTTGCAAAGCGGGAAGATTTTTGGGGTTTTGTGAGACTTTTGGGTATGTTGAGATTTTGGCGGGAAATGAGATTTTGGTTTTTATGGTAGAATATTGAAATTCAAGCACTATTTTGCAAAGCGGGAGGGTTTTCGGGGTTTTGTGAGACTTTTGGGGTATTTTGAGATTTTGGCGGGAAATGAGATTTTTGGTTTTTATGGTAGAATATTGAAATTCAAGCACTATTTTGCAAAGCGGGAAGATTTTTGGGGTTTTGTGAGACGTTTGGGGTATTTTGAGATTTTGGCGGGAAATGAGATTTTGGTTTTTATGGTAGAATATTGAAATTCAAGCACTATTTTGCAAAGCGGGAGGGTTTTCGGGGTTTTGTGAGACTTTTGGGGTATTTTGAGATTTTGGCGGGAAATGAGATTTTTGGTTTTTATGGTAGAATATTGAAATTCAAGCACTATTTTGCACCGCCGACCGTTAGCTCGCGTGGGCCCCGCCCACCGTTAGCTCGCGTGTGCCCCGCCCACCGTTAGCTCGCGTGTGCCCCGCCCACCGTTAGCTCGCGTGTGCCCCGCCCACCGTTAGCTCGCGTGTGCCCCGCCCACCGTTAGCTCGCGTGGGCATCCGGTTAGGTTAGGTTAGGTTATGTATTCGAAATGGAGGAAGGTGGATTGGTTTTTATCGTAATTATGCCCCATGGTGGGGTATTGTTCGTATTTGGCGAGCGAAGCGAGCAGGTTAGTTTAGTTTGCTAGAGTACGTGGAAAGCGTGGAACTGCACGGTTAGCCCGTAACTTACGGGCCGTAAGGGCTCCGCACGGTTCGGCACCTAATATTTTTTCCATAAAAACCAAAAATCTCAACATACCCAAAAGTCTCACAAAACCCCAAAAATCTTCCCGCTTTGCAAAATAGTGATGGAATTTCAATATTCTACCAAAAATCTCATTTCCCGCCAAAATCTCAAAATACCCCAAAAAATTTCCCGCTATGGGGGAAAGTGAGACAAAGTCTTAGAATTCTCTGAAACGTCCAAAAATGCAATAAAAAATAAAAACTTTGGCCCGCCATTACTTTCGAACGGGGCATTTCCGCGCTTTCCGGTTTCGATATTCTTGTTCAGCTCGTCGAACTGAACAATTTGACGTATCACTCGACCCTATAGCGGCCCGCCCCTATTCTAAAATTTTTCCAAAAACTCGCACATTTTGGCTTGTAGCGCAAAATCCATCAATGGGCCCCCCAAATATTATTACAGATTCTTCATGTGCACAAAATTACGCAAATTTTAAGCCATCCAACTTCAAAATCGTTAGAGCGCGAAAAAATCACAACTAGATGGTATATATAGGTACTAATATACAGAGTTTGAGTTTTTATATCTTTAAATTTACGACTTGTTTGAACATTTCAGAATTTAATTAATTTTGTTTTTACTGTAGATTAAACCATAAAATTATTTAGACGCCAGATGGATCCTGTGGCCGAATTTCTTGCGGAGGTCGACTCCCTGAAATAATATGTGGCCAGAAGTGGGGACAGAATTCGCCAGATTTTAAAATTGCATGGGACTCGTGACGAGCAAAATAAGAAATTTGTTCGTTTCGGAAACTTTGACATTTACGCGGACAAATTTTGTGGTTTAAAGTAGTTTTATAATTATGTTTACAGAGTTCAGCTCGACCCTGGTAAATAGATTGCTTAAGTTTCTGGATGAAATATTGGTGTTGACTTTCTCCACGAGAATTGCAAGTGCTACTTTCTCCACTGCGGACAAATTAGGTTTTCAGTTTTACAGTTTCTAAATCGATTTAAAGCGCTGGAAATTAAAGTTATGATATTTCAACATATTTAGCAATATATTTTCAATTAAACGTCTTGTGGATCTTGCCCAGAACTCATTTAAAATTCATTTACGGCTCATTTACGGCTCATTTACAGTTTGGTTTCAAAATAACAAGGTTAAGATTTTCGTGTTTACTTGAAATTTGCACTGTTGCACCACAAATTTATCTGCTAGTCCAAATCGAAAACGTTTAAAATTTAAATTTAGCACCAGTTGGTGACAAATTGTAGGGAATTTTAGGCCAACTCATTTAGAGCTCATCGGCAACCCTAATTGCAAATAATTAATCATGCAATTTTCATGTAAAATTACATAGTTTCTCATTCCAGCGGCGGCCGCCGCCGATTGAGGTATCGGTGTCGGTATCGGAATTCTATTGAGACCGTGAATTACATAAAACGCGAACTGCCCAAGGGCAGTCCGGGGCAGTGGCAAAATATCTGCATAAAAGTCTACGCATCATCAATAAAACCTTGAATTGTTAACCAAGTTTCGTATTCACTACAAAATTGAGAATTAGATACAATACATTAATAATCTTTAGGAAGTGGTCAAATTCTCTTCCAAAATATTTTTATAAGTTATTTTCAGTCATATTTGACCAAATTTGGTCGAGTTTTGGTCAAAAACTAAATTTATCAAAATTAGCAAAAATTCGCATATTGGCTTATATCTCGAAAAATGGGTTTCTCTGCCCCCAATATTATTACAAAATTTACAAAAGAATTTAATTCTTTATGTACACAAAATTACGCAACTCTTAAGCTATCATACATCAAAATCGTTGAAAAAAACATCATTTCATTGTATACATATGTACTAAACATAGAAGAGCTAAAGCAATAAGTGGAAATAGAATATTTATTGGTAAAAATGTTTTCCTATTGGTTGGGATGTGTGGATGGCAATGTCTCAATAATAGATGAACTTGAAATCAAGCCTATAAATGGAAGCAATTTTCCAAAAAATATAATTAGATATGTGACCAGATTTTTTTTAATCTCTAAGAATGAATCACAAAACAAAGAATAGAAGAAAACGTCCTCTAGAGCCGAAAAAATTTACGACTTTCAAATTTACTAGGTCACCCTACGTAAGCTCACAGGAGCTATTGAATTCCCCTTGTCTGTCTCTCTGCTTACGATTGTTTTGCATCAATTGATGCCAATTAATAAGCAACATTGTCAAAGTTTTGCAAGTTAGTAGCACCATTGGTGAAAAATAGTTCAACGTCAAAATTAGGGGTCTATACGGTCGGATTTTCTCTGAACCATTGCTGAAAAGTTAAGGTCGAAGTTATGCCAAAATTATGTATCCATTTGATCCACGGGTGCAAATTTATAGATTTATGTTATGTCAGAATTACGTTTCCATTTTACTTTTTGCCGCTTATTCTGCACCAATGGTGAAAAATTTTATCACATTTTTGTGTACTGTTGTTACAGGGTGAGCTACGTGTAACGTTACAACGGTTTATTTGAGATCGTGTCGTACCAACTACATTTGTGGTGTATTGAGGTCAATTTGACGTCAAATTGACTTCTTCAATTTTTAAAAATCACGGGCTGACTTGTATAGGCTTAAAAAATTAATAAAAATACAAGAAATTTTAACATAGGGACTGGTCGGAAAGTAAAGAAAAGTTTTGAAAATACATTTATTTACAGGGGGAAAAATAGTCATTGAGTTGGAACGAGGTAGCTTTGTAGTCCATACGATTGGCAACCAACATCAGAAAACAAAAATCCGATATCTCAAACCGTTCAAACATGAGAAGACAAAATTCAGAGCAACTCGTAAAAAAGATTTGCCACTATTACGAATATGTGTGCGGGCGCGTGCGGAAAAAGATTTATGACAACTTCAAAAGTGAAAAAATTTATCCGGGGACAATTTTCCGAGTTGTAGATATTTATGAGGAAAGGGGGAGTGCTGAAAACAAAATGGCCGCCCTGTTCGTGTAATGACCCCAAAGTGATACGTAGAGTTCACAAGGAATTCAAAAAATACCCTGGAGTATCTGAACGAAATTTGAGTAACAAATTGAAAATTTCTAAATCAACTTTGCATGATATCAAAGTTATGAAGTTGGGAATCAATTCTTATAAGACGATATCTGCACCAAAATACAACCAAGGTCAAGAAAAAAGGGCCAAGACGAATTGTCGGAAGATTGCTGAAAAAGAGTCGCGCAAAACACGCCCATCATTCTGGTCATGGATGACGAAACCTACTGTTCCATTGATCCAAATGAAGTACCTAGAATAAAGTACTACTCATGTACTAATAAGAAAACAGGTCAAGATTCATTTAAATACAAACCCATTTCCAATATTCCACTCGGCGATAAACGATGTAACATGCAATTGAGATAGAACAAGTGAACAATCCCCCGACATTCCACCCACATTGGACCGGTTAACAGATTTTGGGGTTTATGCAAGAAAGAATATAATAGTCCAACAAAACCAGCCAAAAATTTGAGAGGATTCCGACAGATTTTGAGACATATCTCAAATAAGGTAGCGGAAAAGAGTGGCAAAGCAATTATGGGGACCGCACGACACAAAATTCCCCAGATTGGGAGGATGGGGGTCTATGGGACCTACGAAGCAAAAAATAAATAGCTTAATCCTTAGCTTATAATTTGTGAAAATTATTTAGAATTAATTAAAGTATTGCTGGTTTTGCAGGCATTTTCAAAAGTTTTCTTTACTTTCCGACCACCCTCTAAATTTATTCAACTAAATTTTACAGGTCAACCTGTTTCCGGTGCCAACGTGAAAGGGAGTCATCAATCCGTCCGTGCTACCTGTCCCCACTGTCAAGCTGACGTCAACTCTACAATTCGACACGATAATGGGATGATAACTCACCTCGTCGCACTTGTGCTCTGCTGTTGTCGGTAAGCCAGAAAAGAGCTGACTAATGAGCAAAGGGTTAATTAGTATGAAATTTGTAAATTTAACTGTACGCCAATGGGCAAGTTTAGCGGAGATATTTGCATGAGAAGATAAGAAATTTGTAATGCAAAATTCCAAAAGTGTAAAATTGGTCGCCTTCGGGGCCCATTTTTGCCTGTTTTTATGCAAATATCTCCGCCAAACCTGCGCATTGACAGATGGTTGCATTTGAAAATTTCATACCAACGAAATTTGTGATCGATTGACACTAGTTTCGTCCAAGTCAGTGAACATACGTTGGGAGGCCTCGATTGTTAGTAAACTGTTGTGAGTTAATTTATAAAGGGTATCTCTAAGGGAGGGGAGGTCCTCTACATGTCCCTCTCATAGTTTGATGCCCATTGCATTTGTGGTTCCCTCAGGTGTGTGTTGGATAACCCCGAAGTGGTTTTATTCTAATGCCACATTTGCGGACGCCAAACCCCCTCAAGTTATGAAACCGAGTAACATTGCTAACTTCAAATATCCAATTTTGCTCAGAATTTTATAATACTTACAGTTCTGTCATCATATCCAGTACATTGATATCTCAACTTTTTTGACATTTTCGAAACTGTCTACTGTTCAGAAATTATTCGACAAATTTCAAAAGTTCAAATTAGGAGCAAAATTGAATGTTTTATGACAGATGAAGCACATTCTTTCGTGTTTTTCGCGTCTTTGCGGGGGTGTGGCGGGCGCAAATGTGGCCATGGAGTAAAACCAGTTCAGGGTTATCCATCCCTCGCCTAGGGGACCCACATATGCAAAGGGCATCAAGATCTGAGAGGGGCATGTGGACGTCTCTCCTCCTAAGCGTACTTACTAAGTATGCTCTCTAGCAAGGGACATTTACGACCTGTCGTTCGTGTCCAGGGTACACACAATGTTATTTTGGAATCAATTGAGGACCCTAAATGAAGTATCCATTCATATTTCTGTGCAAAACTCATATTAGCACCGTGGCGTGGCGCCAAACTTAGAAATCTCTATAACTTTAACCGCTTCTGTGAGATTTTCAAAATTTTGGGCTTAAGGGTAGGCTCTGAAACCATTAGGAATCAAAAAATTTGCATCGACATGTATTTGAAAATGCTCTGTATTTTTAAAACCGATGCACCAAATTTCACAAACGATACCAATAATTAAAGCTGAATACTTCCTCGAGTAAGAAAAATAATAATTTCTGCAGTATCATGTTTCAGATTCAAACGGGAGTGAGTTATATGATTTCAATGACTTGATTTACGGGAAGAACCCCCCAGGGTCCAGTGATGAAAATTTTTGAATGCAACCTTCTTCAAAAAATCCCTGATTAGTTTGCGGGGCACGAGTACCCCCATCTTCTCCAACGAATATGTCTCCTTCATATTTTAAAGTGCATCTGAACCTGAAATTTCTTAAAATTTCTCGAAATTCCATTTTAAATTTAAAAAAAATTAAATTTTTTTTCTGGGTCACGAACCTAAACAACATCTGCCTGATCACTTCTCAGTTTCAATCCAGAGAAAACTATACTCTTTATCGAGTTGTCGTTACCCTGAAGTTCCTACAAATTACTTATTTAATTCAGAATTTAGAGTGCGTATAGTTTTCGAGCGGGACGCCTATTTATTTTTAAAAGTGTGTGCTATGGTGTGAAGTTAGTCACAATTCGGCTCTTACGTAATCGATACTTTTTCATAACTAAATAGGTGAAGATGAGTTCTTCGCCGATAGCCAACATATCGAGGAAGGTCTATGAGACAGCCGTCACTGAAAGAAGTAGGAAAGCCAGAGTATTAAAAATGGTGGAGTCCATGACACTACATGAGCAGTGCGAGGTAAATTATGCTTTTTTAAAAAATATTTATGATATTACAAAACTGAAAATGCGCTCAATATAATTATTGACCAAATACATATAAATTGCAGGAAATGTCGATAAACACATTCACCGAAAATGTTGAATTTGACCACCAGTTTATAACCGATTTAGACATCATAGTACGTACAATTAATTACTAGTTTATCAAAACTGGCAACAATATAACCAAATATGTCGTAATTTTCAGATTATCGAACTTTTGCACTGGGGAGGTGTAGCATTCAGAGACCTCGGCTTCTTTAACGGCATGGGTGACGATGGATACCGTCAAGTCAATGGAACACTGATGCCAAACGGGTATGCAAAAATTAAATCCTCACTGCACATTTTATTTGTTTATCAAACACTATGTAATTTTAGATCTAACATAAGTCAAATCAAAATTGGCTACCTTTTCGACCCGGAGGATGATCCAGTCTCATATTTGTTGATTTACTTGGCTTCCGCCACATTAGTAATTTTTACGTTCGCTTGTTTAACCCACTTTTACTGCGTCGTCTCCCAGTTCAGTGCAAAGAAACGTACGGACATTCTTCGAGTGCAAAAGGTACGTCGAGATATTTGGGGTATTCACGTCAACTACGGTCAACTTCGTCTAGCAATACAATATTGCCGAGATACGGGAAACGATCGTGACCCTTTAATTCAATATTAAATTAAAGGGCTAAATTTAGTCCACCCCCTATTTGGCTAAAAGATGCCACTTAGGATTAATTAATTTCTAAACCGAATAAAATTCTTCTAACCTGAGCTTTTAAACTGTTAAATTAAGCCCACATATCTGGATCGTGGCTGTTAGAAGTTTAGGCTGATTTTAGTTCCTTCGTACATATTTGACGACGTTAAATAAAACTATACAATACAGGAATTAATTAGTTTGGAGTAATTTACATTTGCAAAAAATACATAATTCTTCAAAGAATTATACTAATTTATTTGCAAAATTTGAGAAGCAAATAAGTCATTTATTTATTTTCGTCGTAGACCATTTTTACAAGCTCGTCTTTAATTGGACGTAATTTCTCATTTCAGATTTTTTTGGTTTAATTTGTCACAAACTATATGACGTATTTCTCAAAGACCGTAAATTTCCGAGAATGTCTTGCGACGGGACGTTTATAAGTGACGTGAGTACCCACATTGCAATTTTACATAGATGTCGCAATAATTAGCATATCTTTGACAAGGACAAGCAAATGAATATGTGTATATATTATTTTTTCAGTTAATTGCATCTAATCTACTTATTGCTCCCCTTATGTTAAGTATTTCTATCTGGATGTTTTATAAATCTACGAATTATGTAAGTTAAGCACTTATTTAGCAATACTGATTTTGACTCTGATTCTGATAAATTTACATTAATAGATATTTCATAGAATGCGTACATTTCACGAATGTCCGTTAAATACAAAGGTGCCACGATTTTGAAAACACACTTGAACCCGTATTTACAAATAAGTATTTCTACACTCATCCATAACTATCACACCGACTGTAAAATATGGGTGTACTTAGAAATTTGCAAATTACCAAAGCATTTTTCAGTTTTTATCAACACTGTAAACAAAGTTGCGTAAAATTGCTACTAACACAACTATTGGGTAAAATTTACCCTGACAAAGGCTACATTTACTCAAGATTTAGCAAACATTTTTCAAAGCTGGATAAATTGCAACTTTTATTGGCTAACTTTTACACGATATTTGTGTTAGTGGCAATTTTACTCAAAATCGAGTAACCTTTAATCAAATTTATAGAAAGTGCAGAATTTGAGTAAAAATGAATATTACTAAAGTTATCTATCTGCATACATATTTATAATTTACAATATTTAAAACAATACTATGCTCATATTTATTCCAGGCAAATCCTGCAGCCGTTTGTAGCATTATATTTGCCCCGCTGCTCGGAATCGCAATCGGAATGCGACGATTTAGCAAAAGATTTGCTAATTACTTACTTTTCCTTACGTTCTTCCGACTATTCACAATTTTTAGTATTAGTCAAATTTATAAATTTTTCTGTGAACTTTATCAATTCGCAGTTTATTTAGACGATTTATCCAGGTTGTAATATTTTACATGGTAGGAGTTTTACACCTGTATTTTAATACGGATGCAGAATAAATTATTTATTGTAATAAAAGTTTCTCACCAAAGTCGTTTGCAGTTTTAGGAATGCATTATGACTGAATTTTAAATGAAATTACGATATATCACATTTAACTCATTTATTTTATTAAATTTTTGTCCCCAAATTATCACAAAAGTCAAAATTACTTATGATTTCAACTTTTGAAATTCACGGTAAATGTCGTTGTCGACTCCTATGAAAAAGTTCTTACTCACATATTTAACACGCTCATAACTTAATCTTGGATCAATTATTACTACCCGGTAATATAAATTATTATCGTGCCGGTGGAGTCATATTTATATGCACTTCGGCTAGTAATAATTTGCTACCAGTTTTCCAACGTGTGGGATTACCCATATTTTTCTAGATAGATAGATAGATTAACGACCATATTCTTATTCAGGGTGAATCTGCCCTTGCTCATCTTTTCGTTTGATAAGATTTGCCACCCTTCTTTCACTTTTCCGTTGCATATCCCACATAAATCTCCCCTCTTTCCTATCCGAGTTTTACATGCAAGTATAGAATATACACAAATTTACTGTATATACTTTCACTTTCCCTGACTGCTCCACAAAGCTAAACATGAGTAAATGCAACATCTGATTTGGAACCAAAGGGCCCAAATCTCACCAAATCCTGCCTATAAACTTTCATAAATACATCCAGACATCGCACTCTAACAAAAACATTTGCCCTGCATACGAACCCACTTACTTTAAACGTTAAAATGTTTAACTTACTATTGAAGATTGGTTCCGTCAACGGATTGACACTTAAAGTTATTAAGGACCGATTACAAAAGATCGAAATGGAGGTAAGTAAATATGTATTTCAAGCTAAAACCTGCTTACATTTTTAAATGCTTGTGTAAATTAAGGATTTCATTTCAATTCAACCTCCATTCGAGCTAAATGGATATCAGTTTAACAAAAGCTGGTTTACAAACCATGACACGGATTAACTTAATCAATTACATTTTTGGAAGTAATGATATTTCATCCGTGTTTCGTGGGCAAAGAACCACTTGTAAAAAATTAACTGCAAAAAAGTAGTTTCTTGCAACTAGATGGCGTCAATTTCCTGCACTTTTGCTACCAGTTTCTGGAATTTCTTGCGCTTAATTACATAAAATGAAATTCCGCACATATTTTCAGCAGTTTTTTTCTAAATCATCCTCTCGAATTTGTTTAACCAGGATGACGCATTTTACAAAAAATGCCGAAAATTTCAAGAAAAGTTGGAGTTGGAAGTATCCAAAAAATTGGACCTGGACTTGATCCCACTGCAGGAATACGTGGCTGTTCACCACCTCCACAAATTACTCATGGACAAAACAAAGAGAAGGATTTACTCACGGAAATGAAACTAAGTTTGGAGTTTGAACAACCCCTGTGTACTTATTGTCTGGCTTTTTTTATCAGTTTCCTTACCTTTATAAGTAAGTATTTTTACATAAATTACACTAATATTTACACTCTTAAAAATAATGCGGCCCTTTTGACGAGTAAATGCAATCTGAATTTTTAATTGAGTAAACTCTACGAACGTTAACGAGTAAAGTTTATCGTGGATTTAGTATAGTTTACTTAATTTGGAATTCAGATTGCATTTACTCATCAAAAAGGTGATATTATTTTTAAGAGTGTAAATCTGTTCAATAACTTTCAATTGTCAACCTTTTGCATATTTAGGTCTACTTGCCAATAATGCCACGTACTGTGACCAATTCTACGACCAGATTTTTAACACCCCGGCTCAATTCGTGCTTCTCTTTTGGACAAGAAGCGAAATAGTGAGGGTCCTTCGGGTCTTTTTCGTCTCCTTTATTGTTCTATTTGTGGTACTACTTATTATTCACGCACTCTAAATAATTTGTAGCCAAATGTTTCATAACACTCTGAGACACACTCTTAAAAATAATGTTGCCCCTTTTGAAGAGTAAATGAGTGCAGTCCAAATTTTACATTAAGTAAACTGTACTAAATCCAGGGTGAACTTTGCTCCTTATCGTTACTCTGGATTACAGTTTACTTTTAAATAAATGTGCTGTAAAAAAATGCTATATTATTTTTAACAGTTTTCTATTTCTTGGAAATGAATAAGCAGACGTGTGTACACCAATGGAAAATAAGGCAGAAACTCGTGTACCACACGAAGTCGTTATTAAATAACTTGGACATTTTTAATGTTACTTGAATATGATATAATTTCCCATGTCTTTAATATTTAACCTAAAAATGGAGTTTTTTGAGTAGGGGGACCATTTGTCTCCAAATTATTAAGAGTGTGCGCACAATATTCCAATCTGTATTCACACAACCGCATTAATGAAATTGACTTTGGTACACATTTATGTAGCTGTCAGCCAACTTGTTGCCCGCTGCGAGGTGGTGGCGACTGAGCAAAAAACGCAAATCTCGTTTATCTGCAAACAAAAATTGTGCCCAGGAAATTGGCGGATTGTGCCAGCCTGCAACCAAAAATATGTCAATGATACCGAAGAATACGGAGATGGTAGAAGTTGGCTTTATTTTTTGCAGCACACCCTTAAAAATAATGTTGGCCTGCACTGTGAATTCTAAACTGAGCCAACATTATTTTTAAGAGTGTATTTACATACCGTAAAAACTCAAATAATAGCCGCTGCTTAAATAGTAGCCTTGTTCAAATACTAAAAAATACAAAAATGATCTAGTTACATCCAGTTATGCACCCTCTGTGTTTTATCTCTAATCAAAAATTTCAAATATACACATTCACAATTTACATCAAATTTTTTTTATGGGTTTTGGAAATGAACAGTGGTTCAAAGAATATCTGCTGTCGGCCTTAAAATTTTAGCTTTTTTAGAAATTAGAACTTCACTCCTCATCAGAAATGGGTGAGGAAAACGAAGAGAACCCTTAAAATGTTCAGCGACGCTTATTTCACCCTAAAAATTAAGGTTATCGACACTGTTTATACAAAGGCCCAACTCACAGTAGTAGCCTTACGCAAATGTATGTAGTAGCCGGGTCCCAGCCACAAATTTTATAAATAGTAGCCCCAGCTACGATTTGAGTTTTTACGGTATGATGAGTTGTGATGTGAAATTACCCAGTTTTCAATTCATACGTTTGCATGCATAACAAACAGGTGAGGGTCAATTCTTCGCCGATAGCGAACCTATCGAGGGAGGTCAATGAGGCAGCCGTTACTGAAAGAAGTAGGAAAGCCGAGGTATTGAAAATGGTGGAGGCAATGACGATACACGAGCAGTGCAAGGTAAACTTGTGCAATTTGGTAAATATTGGGGGTACTCACGACAACATCCTTATTTTACATGCATAGCTATTCATTTTGCAAATCGGCCAATAGCAGCAAATTTATGCCGTGAATGGCTAAGAAAATTTTGAAAAATGCAAATTCCTCATGAATTTCTTGAATCTCTCTCTCGTTGATATTGGGAAATAATTTTGCGAAATAAATGCATCGAAACTTGTCGGTTGTGCTACACTCAATTTACATAAGAGCATATGAAAAATATTCGCATGTTGACATGAGTACGCTTATCAGAAAAAGGGCAACCCTTGCAATGTACCGATGTAATACAAATGTTAAAACTTGTTTAAATTTCAGGAAATGTCGATAAACACATGCACCGAAAACATTGAATTCGAGCACCCATTTACATCTTTTGAAGAGGGCATCGTACGTAAAATAGTATTAATAAATTATCAAACCTGGCAACAATCCTGTTAGAAAATATATCGTCATTTTCAGTCTACGGAACTAGCCCTCTTGCCAATGTTAGCGTTGAGAGACCTTGGCCTGTTCACCGGCTTGAGTATGGGTGATGATGACGATGGATTCGATCTCGTCAATGGAACACTTATCTCGACCCCGTATGTAAAAATTAATTCTCCAATTTCAGGTTTATTAATCTATCAAAGCCTATCTAATTTTAGATCAAACATAAGTCGAATCAATATTGGCTACCTCTTCGACCCGGAGGATGATCCAGTCTCATATTTCGTAATTTACCTAGTTTTCGTCACCTTAGTCGTTTTTGTGTTCGCTGGTTTAACCCACTTCTACCGCGTCGTCTTCCACTTCAACGAAAAGAAACACACGGACATTCTTCGAGTGCGAAAGGTACGTCCATAAATTGGGGGAATTCACGTCAACTTCGCCTCGCAACACAACTTTCCGATGTCTGCGAAGAGATGTGCGATGCGAGAAAGGATCCGAACCATTAAAGTAAACCCTTAAATTTAAAGGTTAAATTTAATGCACCACCAATATGGATTGAAATTGCCACTTATTTAATTTAAATCGCCACCCGAATGAAAACTATTCAGATCCTGGACCAGTATTCCTGGTTAGCCCAAATTAAGACGAATTACAACTAAACTATTTATTTCATCAAGTTGACCGCTACAGAACTCAACAATTATTTAAAATAACCTCTAAAGAATTATGCAACTTTTGAAAGAATTTTTTTAGAAAATTTTGGACAAGGAAAATTATCTCTTTACCATCATTACAAACTACTTTTCGTACTCTTACATTCAATCTAATCGTCATTTCTCCTATCATTTTCATCTTGTTTATTTTCATTTCAAATTAATCCTTTGCGACATCGCAGATTCCGCAAAATCTTGCGACTATCTCTTGCGAAGTAAAAAGTGGCGTGAATACCCATACTGTAGTTTTATAAATTTCGAAATTAATGGAATATTTGCTGCTAATTTTCAGTGCATTTTATCCCACTTATTTATGCCTGCTCTTATGTTAAGAATGCTCATCGCGATCTTCTACAAATCTACGAATTACGTAAGTTAAACATTGAACACGTTTTTCGATTTAAACTCAGAATCATGGTAATAATGACAATTGCTAACGGTTTCTACTAATTTATATGTTGATTATGTACGAAATTTAAAACAGTATTTATTACATATGTACGTATTTATTCCAGGCAAATCCTGCAGCCGCTAGTTGCATAATATTTACTCCACTGCTCGGAATAGCAATTGGAATGCAACGATTTAGCAGAAGATTTATCAATTATTTACTTTTTCTTATTTTCTTCCGTCTATCCACAATTTTTACTATTTGTCAAACTTATAAATTTTTATGTGTCCTTCATTTATGAGTAATGTATATAGTTTATCCAGTCAGTTATATTTGACTCAAATAATTTGAGTATGTAGGTGTTTTGCATACGTATTTTGTAACTTACCTGGCTAGGTGAATTAAATTATCCTGGTTGACTTAGAAATAATTGTACCTACCTGGACGTACAATTTGACCCATTAATTTTTGTCTTATAAGTACGTTTCGTGACGTTTCTCATATTTCCTCAGTAGAAATATAATTATGTAATAATCACATTGTAATTATGGATTTGGACAAAGTATTAAAGGATCTAAAATTGTGTATCAATTATAGTGCAATTGGGTGAATTTTACTTATGCAGAAGTGTTATTATGTATACATTATATGCACATGTAACAGCAATTGATTACAAATTGAAATATTATCCCGACACCTAATACGATAATTATTACTCATCTACACTAAAAAAGTTAAAATTACTTCTGTCATACTTTTCACCCAGCCGAACATCCTTTCAACCAACTATTTCCATATTCAGATGTAAAACAAAACCCTCCCAACCAAATCAACGCCCCCATAATTACGAACAAAGTTACTAAACTGCTCTTCAACTTTTGCGGATTAAATTTCCTCTCCTCCTGTCCAAACTTTGCAGGATCCTTCGCTATTATATTTTTCGTCTTATTCATCACCAATTCAAGTTCAGCTTTAATCGAATTATTGAACAGAACCTGAAGCAATCCTGACTCCATCATTGTTTCAAAAAGTCTGGGAACTTTTGAATATAATGAGGAATACAACGGTAAATAAAGGGCTTCCTTTAATAAAGGTTCTTTCCCCGTATAAAATTTAATTTTTGGGTAAGACTTCTCAAAATTTAGTCTCTGCAGCTCAATTCTTTCCGAATCAGCAAAAAACACAGATTTCCCACACGCCACGACTTCCTCCTCAATCCACTCGTTAATCCGAGTAGCTGGTAATGATTGCAAGTTGTGAGTGCGGTAATATTTCAGGTACGATTCATAACTCGAAATGAATTTAGACGCAAATGGACCTGGTTTCATAGTCCAAAGTATTTTCGGTTACCATCTCATTGGATTTGTGTAAAATTGATGGGCAAGCTGAGACTCGACGTCAATCGTCTTCACTTTAAGAATCCCATGTAACTCGTAATACCAAGGGTGGTACACAAAAGTTTCAAACAATCCATTGGTCAGAATGCTAAAGCAAGTTGAACTTTTATGCCAGTTTTGGAAGAAGGTGACATTATTTAAATTAAACGTTTCCATTAGCCAGTTTCCTGTGTGGCGTTAGGATGAAAAACGTGATCACCTCCGCATCTTTTGTTACACGTATTTTTCGAACTTTTTAAATCGTTTGCCGTTAAATTTTCTTTTTTAGCTGTGCAATAGAGGGATTCAACCGTGTCAAACATTTTTGGGGGAAATGGCGCATTAAGATTTGTCAGTTCCAATTCTTCGCAATTAAGATAAGTCGCATTAAGATATTGGGAAGGAGATGTACCCATTGGTAAAAACTATGGAGGCGAGAAGCCACCAGATGGAGGCAAGACGAAAGTGCGGGTTATGCCCAACCTCAGAATTTGGCGGGTTTGAAGGTTCGTCAATGATTGATCCAAGAAAGAAAAGGAACGAGCTGGGAGCTAACTTAAGGCAACCATCGATGAGTCATTCCCGTGTGTCTCACTCCGCCCCATGTGTCAGGTTGCCTCATGGAGAACTTAAAATTGATATTTCGCAGCTAATATTCAGTGAAATTTAAATGTTATTACTTTAAATAATCCCATATTTTGAACTTGAAAAATTCATCTCAACAGATTTTTGGAAAAAAATTCTTTCCTCAATAATTTGTTGTCCTTCTTTGGAAGAAATCTGCTGAGTGAATTTCTCAAGTTCAAAATATATTTATAATTATTTAAAGTAATAACATTTAAATTTCATTGAATATTAACGGCGAAATATCAATTTTAAGTTCTCCATAGGGAAACATGACACATGGGGCGGAATAAAACACACGGGAATGACTCATCGATGGCTACCTTAATATTCAAGTGGAATCTCACAAACAAATCGACCAAAATAGATATTCCGAAGAGATAACTGAACAAAAGGACCCGCGACGACAGATCCATCGTTTCTACGTACATCGAATAAACCATGGTCTCTTCCTTGTAGCAGGAGATGTAGTTGAACGATTTGTACGCATAGTGAATTATTTTTAGTAGAACGTTATACTGTTCATAATTTAAATATATTGATTGTAAATCTCCCACTAGCAAGAAAGGTTTGTTATCGTATTTATCTTTTTTACAGGACACGTGGAATATTGACGTTAAATTCTCCCTCATATTGAGAATTTTCCAAAATACTCCTTTCATAATTGCAGTATTTTTGTTGTTTGTATCATCAAAATTCCAACATGGTTCAAAGCTTGATATTAGTTTAGAGTTGGGTTTAAACAGAATTTCCTGCCTAACTTTAACCCGTAACTTTAACCTAGCGAGAGAGCTTGGCACAGTTGAGAGCTGGGCTTCCCTTGATTGGGCGTCCCAGGTTCGATTCTTGCCGGTGCTTAATCGCGAGTATCCACGTTGCACTTCCGTGTGGATGCGGTATATTGTGGCTCTGTGTAGTGTTGTTGGTATGGATGGGCCGTGGCTCTGGGGGTTGCTCCTCACTACCCGTCCAAACCCAGCCAACTTCCAGTACGGCAATGTATTTAGGATAAAATCCTACCGTGAACTCACCGCTATAGTTATGGTGAGAAATGGGGGCGTCATGGGATGCAAACCAGCCTTGCGAAAGACTGATTCCCTTTAACGTTAAAAGCTGATTTTCCGTTGACAAATAAAATTTATTTTACTTAAAACCGAAAAGAGTTTTGAATGGGCACAAATCGTCACATTAGTCTTTTTCAGCAGCAGTATTTTGAAATTTGGAAAAACTGTCGGCATTGGTCCAGGATGTGTAGGTTCCCAAGATTTCCATAGTTCCACTTCACTCACTACGTTCATAATTACGAGGATGGAAAAATAGTCGTAAACTGCTAACGAAAGTTTGAAAGTTTCAGCGTTCTCTACGTATTTGTAGCCAACGTTTATATTTTGCAATAACTTGTAAATCCGATTGGAGTTCCCCGCCCAATAATAATTATGCTGATTCGTGTCGTTATAATTGCAATAAATGATGACATTGACGCAAGTCCATCTCCGGTCTTTAAATATTTTGGACATTGTTCGATTTTCATTATTTCCATCGAGGAGGCCTACTTCGATTGGGATACCTTTAGTGTGAGGCAAGTTTTCGGAGTGTATTCCATTGGAGAAAATTTTCTGTCGGCAGAGGGTTCTTGGAGAAAGAAAATTGTGAAGGTTTAGTGAAAGTGGAGTTCCAAAATCTACAATTTTTGACCCCGTGACATCAAGCTTTGAAAACAGAGTAAAAATCAAGAGAAAGTAGAACATGCTGCTCAGGTAAATATATTTTTGAAATGGTGCTTGTTAATTTTTCGCCACAAAAATCTGGAGCAATAAAATGTTTAAATATTGTCTTACAATGGAGGTCTCCCAACGTATGCTCACGGATTTGGACATTATTACTTGTTTTTCGCTTACCTCCTGATAACCGAGGTCTGGGCGTATGGAACAGATTTTAAACTTAGAAATGTGGTTAAGCTCGCTTAACTCCAGGCAGAACAAAATTTTGTAATTTTCATCATTTCTGCTATCGGCAAGCAAAAAACTAAGCGAAATTTGAAGCCACGATTTTTTTGTGTATCTGAGAGGCCCCACTATATATCCGTATGATAATAGATACATGGGGCAACCATGTACATATAACTTGTAACTTAAAATTATTACCTGTGACTTAATTTATAAGTTATAAGTCATGGAAACGCCATCTGTCGACGTATATTTACAATTATAAGATAAGTTATTAGTCATAATTTTAATTATATTTAATTTTGGTTATATGTCCATGGCTGCCCCATGTATCTAATACCCTGTACTAAATTATCCATTCGTGAGTGATTACTAGATCTTTACGTACCTTTTTTGTAAATATTTTAAGGGTGAAAGAAATCACAAATTTGCGAGTAGTGGATGCCAGTGTACTGCCACTACCAACTAATGCTAACATTGGGGCTGCGGTAATGGTCCTGGCTGAGAAAGCAGTTCAAGAAATCTTTACTCAATACCTGGGACCCGGAAGGACGAATTAGCGACTAATTATTAGTCTGATAGATTTTCCTAACTATGGCTTGTTTTGCAATGTGAAAAGTATTAAAAACTAAATAACATTAGAGTTATATGATAAAAATACATACAACATTATTTGTCCGGATGGAAGGAAATCATTTAATAATTAATTAATTTGATATGCTTGTACATAAAAATGCGCAATATAACGAAATCTACGATGTGAGTCTGGTTGTCATCAGTGTTTAAAATCTTGCAAGAAATAACTTCATTTACATTACATACAATAATTGTTATAAGAAGTCGTTTAAGTTAAGTACAATAAACTTTAACATGCTAAATACTCAATAAAGAATCCAAAAATGCAGACGTAGATAAGAAATATTAAAAATTGAAAAAAATAGTTGAACTAAATAAATTAGTAGTTCAGTATTTCCTTTGTAGAGACCATTGCACACAAATCTTCATGGGGACCTTCTCCCATTTTGTTGTTCTGATAACTTGCAGCCGGAATTGGCACGCTTAAATAAACTCCATCGACTCTTATCGTCGTACTGTTTCCGATCTGTAAAAAATCGACAGTTTTTAATCACATTCAAGGAATTTCTGTTCATATTTCAAAAATATTTATGTGCTATTATTTATTTTACATATATGTAATTTTGCATATTTTGTATGTGACATACAAAATATTCTTTTGATGCAAAAATTATAATGACTGATTACTGCGCGGGGTACATACATATATTTATATTTATGACTCTACTGTGGATGGTAATACTTGATTACTGCACAGAATTGAACTGTTACAGCTTAGAATAAACTCTTTATAACTGCGGTAATTAGTATGTTGATCAGGTATAAAGAGTTTATTCTAAGCTGTAACAATTCAATTCTGTGCAGTAATCAAATATTACCATCCACGATGGAGTTATATATATTTATGCCCTCCGAGCAGTAATCAGTCATTATAATTTTGCAAGGTATTCACTTACTTGACGTTGGAGCATCACCAGGACACGATTAGCAAGCTTATCACCACTATAGTACAAATCACTCTCGACATCTGCCTCATAAACGGGTCGTCAGCAGTAGTGGGGCTCATGTCCTCCTGGAAATCATTCGAAATCGAGATCGGCGGGTGCAGAATGGGCTCCGTTTTTAAAAATGTAACGATGCTGGGACGTTGAGTTGATGACACGACTTGATTTGGCGATGATACGATCGGTATTCTTTCCCCGGACGCTATTTTGGGCGCCGGCGTCGTCATTTGAAGATAAATGTGTTCTAGTGGACGCGGAGGAGTTACCGTAATTTGTTCTCTTGCTGTATCAAACTGATTTTGCGCAGTACACCAAAAAGTCCAAGGGCCCTTGTAAGCCGAACTGTTTGGTAAAATTTCAAGCGTGCTTTTCCAATGGTAAGGGTAAGGTTTCCCCGTTGCCATATTAATAAATGTTGGTTTTGCATGTTGGCTAAAAAATATAAGAAATGGTCATGATCTGGCAGATTTAGGTGCAGCAATTCATATTAGGTATGTAATGAGTACATCAATTTCATAAATTAATTTAACTATAGGGATGCCCCAAGTACCGGGTAGCCACCCGGTATCCGGCCTTTTTGTAATTCCCGGTGCCCGGCTGGGTAGTCTAAGCTGCCCGGTTTACCCGGCCGAGTAATTTTTCTTACTTCAAATTCCAAACCTTACAAAAAATGTTGCAAATCTATAAAACTCTTGTTTTTAACTTGGTATACAAGCAAATATTTGTAAAGATTGGGTCCAAATTTGGCCACATTTTGTGGGGAAATTAACTTGCAAATTTTAAAATTACCGCATATGATTTTCGTCTTTGTAATATCAACTTTTGCCACTTACAATTTATTTAAACGTATCACATTTTTAGCATATTTTAGAACAAAATTTAAAAAATTCACATTATTATGATCTTACAAATACCCGACTGGGTTACCCATTCGGGGTATAAAATTTACCACAACGCGGGGCACCCCTACTTACCTCTGCAGTAAATTCCCCACGTCCACTGTACCCTGATGCCATTGGACCACAGGTTGTGGCCTGCCCTGTATCCAACAATTGACCATAATCCTGTCCTCAATCTTAACTCTTGCCATTTCCGTAATTTGTAGCGGACAAGGCAATTCATCCATTATTTCATCTGTAATCGAGTCCAGCCCGAGTCCCTTCAATTTTCGGGGTGAATCACAAACCACGTCGTCCACAATATTAATGTGGTACACATTTCGGAGATGTTGCCTCAAAAAGTTCATGTGGCAGTCGCACCTCCAAGGATTATCTTTTAATGAGATATGTCGCATGCCAGTCGCCCGCACTTCTGACCAGGGAAGCGTAGTTAACTTATTCGAATCTAGGTTTATCCTTTTTAAAGACGAGGATAGGAATGGGCGATTTGATGGAATTCTATCCAGCGAACAATTACTCAAGTCAATCTCATTCAGGTGGTGTTTATTAAATTCCAAATTTTTTATCGGATTCCCCCGCAAGTTTAAGGTCTTCACGGCGGTAGTATTCAAATAGATGGAGGACAAGGAATTATAGCTGAGGTCAAGGTGGTCAATAATTTGTAACCCGAGAAAGGCGTCCTGATCGATATCCGGGATTCGACAGTTGGACAAATTGATCTTCTTGAGGGAGACGAATCCTTTCTTTGAGAACGTGTTTGAGGTGAGGTGAACGAGCGGATTGCCGCCGAGGTCGAGCTGAGTGATGGACGAGGCGTTGGGGTAGGTCGGGATTTCTGAGCAGTTTGAACATTTTAAGGATAAGTCAACATGGGGGGTTGGAAATCCATCTTGAGACAATGAACAAGTGCAGGCTGACGTAAAGTTGGGCGGTGTGGTGAACAAGAAAATGCAGAGGGGTAAAATTGCCAACATTTTATTAACCATGGTGAATTGTGTACTTCTTGAGGTGAAAATATGGACTGGAGCAGAAATGGGAGCGAATAACAAGCAATGCTTACTATCCGCTATTAATAATAATAACCCGCTGAGTGCATGTTGCCAGGCTAAAAATAAATATAACCTCGGTGTTGATATTTATCAATATTTTTTAAGTATCCATATTAATTTTTGAGCTGGTTGTGGCAACCGAGGAAGGGCCTGTTCCATACCATACCCTTAGATGTTTAAGGAAAGGACCCTTCCATTTTTAGCTACGCACAAAGAGAGTTGACTTTTACGAGTGGACCTTCCTCTATAAACATATTAGTGTACGTTAAAATTATAAATGCTTCATTTTACCCGGAGGACCCCATAGCTCGCAATGGATCATGGTCCTCGGATGTATTCTGGTTCTTTACGGACCACATGGTCCTTGGTCCAGACGGACCAGTTTTGAGGTGATCCGTCGAACCACCAGGCTACATGGACCAATTAATTGCGAGCTATGGTGCACTCTTGTAAAAGGACGAAACCTTTTTTTCTACCTGGACTTGAAATGCGACCTTATTCTTCATGAGTTTATTCGCATACAATAAAATAATCTTTACCTATATCCAATTTTAAACGGGTCATTCACCCCATGTGAAAAATGCACATGTCTTGATGTTGTCATTATAGATGTTAGGGAAGAATCGGAGCTTCATAGGAACAAACCCCACCGACAAAAATTTTGATATAACAATTATCTATACTGTAACGGTTCAAGTACGTTAATGGCACATTATCATTTTCAAATTTTCAAATTTCGCTGCCTTTAAAATATTTATTTAATCATGGATATACATAAACTACGTCTGTTAAAACACATTTATTAATGGTATATATTAGGGTAGATGTAAATCGTTTCTCTGTTTTGGACAATTTATCCTTTGTTGGAGGTCAAGACAAGGCCGGGCTGGATTAGATTGTCTTTATGCACTCTAAATATAAATACTAAAATTTACCCTGGGTTGAGTAAAAAAAGATGAGCAAACAGCAATAGAGAAATATTAGCCAACAGTTGTGTAAAATTTATATCAGGAAATATCATAATCCAAAAATTGTACTTACCGTAAATGCTCTATTTATAGGCGGGGCTAAAATGCAAAATTGCGGGTAGCAAACCTGGTGATTGCCTATAATTAACGACCGGCCATGTTTCGAGACCCGTCTAAAATTTGCTTCAGCCAAAATTTTAAACATACAAGATCAGCTATAATTCGTGTTAGCACAATTTGAGTTTCTTTAAATTTAACAAAATACACAATCCACTGTAAGGCTCAATACATATCATTGTTTTTAGTTATTTAGATTTGATAGTTTTTTGAATTTTTTGTCACAATTCTATGCAATTTTATTAAACAGGGAACTTATAAATTTTACGAATTTTAGCATGATTCGTTGTGAGTCATTTCTTCTAGGCGCTGGAAACATAGACGGTTGTTAGGACAAGCCATTGTTAAAGACCGGGTTATATAATTAGAGTCCCGGCTAGAAGTAGAGATCTTGAGAATGGCGAATTTGAGATAAAATGACCAGGACACACATTTTTCAGCGACGTTCAGCCTTACAATTTTGTGGCCTTACATCAACTGAGGTTTCCCCTGATTTTCGTGTGTATCAGGTCCGGAAAATTTTGCAAAACATGCTGAACAGTTCGTAAATGTCCAGTGACTCCTGCAGCAGTCGAATATCCCTGGCTGATATCATAGAATTACTGGCACATCTAATAATGTGCATCTGGCCCCGTTTGCTGAATACTTTTGGGCGCCCAGTTCGGTAATTGTGCCCATAATTTTTTTGATTCTTCAAAAAATTGTCAAGAACAGTTGAACTACGTCCTATTTCTTTTGATTGGAGAGACCTTGTTAATTGTACGTAAGTATTTTCCAAATTTCCATATCAGTAAGACTGGGTTTCTTCCCCATATCTACTTGTGGTCATTTTAAAATATTTTGCATTTAATTCTAATTTTATCAGATGACAAAATAACTGAATTAACTGTGGATTCGACCTTACCTGATTTTTATGTAAAAAAATAGCCGGAAATTCAATAAATTCTCAGCTGCCTTTAAGCTTTTGACGCGCAACAATTTCTCGATTTGTGCACTTTGTCTCAGTTTACCCTTGAGCTTAATTTATTTTCAGTTTTTGTGTATTATTTTGCCTTTCATATTTACTAGACACTAAATAAAATATAATTAGTAAATATTCGTTCAGTGTGTATTCTAATCTGATCATATCAAAGGGTGCCTTTAACCTATTGACGCGGAGTGTACGTCCGGTCATTTTTCTGATTATTTTTTTTTTCAATGGTCAATTTTTTTCAACCCAATCTTCCCGCATGTGAATAGTATGCTTCTTAAGTTTTTGGTAGCGTACCGCTTAGGATGTGCATTGTTTTGATCCAGGATATTCTTTATTCGCTTGTTGATGAGCATGTGGCAAGTGCCCCACCACATAGCCCTAGGTCCAAGGTCATCCCTTAGTGCCCTCTTGATGGATGATTTTGGTGCACTCATTTTAGGGCCGCTTTCTTCTAAGCAAACCATGGATTTCGGTATATTCGACTTTCAATGCTTTCACCATCGCTGTGTCCGAACGGATCGAGATCAACTGGATCTCTTCCGGTCATAAGTACTACCAGTATCCTTGTACCCAAACATTATGTCGTAACCTGTCTGTCATTTTGTTACAGAGTTCTGGAAAATTTTCAAAATCTCAAATTTTCTCGTTTAGCTGAGGTGCACATCTAAAATTGCAACCCTCTGTGTTAATTTTCTTGCCATTTGACCAAATATACATATTTTTTCAAAAAATTTTGGGATCCTGTTAAGAACAATATGGGCAGTAAGTAGCAATGAAGCAGACATACCTCTGCAAGATTTCGCGCGAAAAATTAAATCGCAAACCCTTGTGCCGGAATTATTGACCCCACTGTGTACGACGTGGAACAGGTTGAATCGCTATGTATAGGAAGTTAGCCCAGCCCAGAATGCATATCTACCCGACCGCCGCCGCGCCGCTGGCCGCCAGCCGCCCTACTTCCGTCAACCCTTATTACTTAAGGGAATGTTGTGTAAGAGTTTCTGGGGGTGTGCCGGCCACACCCCCAATGGGGTAACGTGAGACAAATATGCCGCCACACCCACCATTGGGGGTAAAATGAGATTTTCGTCTAAATCATCCCCAAAGTGTAAGGCAACATGTTTAAATGTCATGACGGCGCCCCCACTTACGACCACACCGACTCTCTTGGGGTAAAATGAGATTTTTGGTCACATCATCGCCAAAGTGTGATGCTTTAGGTTTATGCACCTGTGGGGTTGCCGGCATGTCCCCCTGTTGGGGTAATATGAGATTTTGGTTAAAATCTCTTCCAAACTATAATGCTTAATGTTTCACGTCGTGTGGGCACTCCCACAAGGCAGAACCCTCCGAGTTTGGGAAAACTTGAGCTTCTCGTTTACATCTTTGCGTCTGGTGAGTCACTATGACGCAGAGACGTGAGGGGTCCCCATTCGCCAAAATTTCAGCACAATTCTGGCTATGGTGTAAATTGTGAGGCTCAAATCTCTTTTGGGCGTTCCATATGGGAAATTTGACCCGAATAAAAATTCGCATTTTGCAAAGATGTGAATTTTCCATTTACTTCTTTGTGGATGGCAACCTTTGCAACATAGGTAAATTATCAATAAGCAGAAACCCATAATAGTTTGGAGAATCAACTAGCATTCTAGTCTGTGCTCAACAAAGCTCGAGTCAGGAGGCGCTGGCGTGATTCCCGCCGAATTATGAGCACCATAGATGGGTGTGTGGGGTGGATTAATATCAGGGGTTTGTAGCTCGTGGAACTCTGGAAATTCAAAATTGATTCCTCGTACCTGAATCTGAGAATGCATTGGGTTTTGAAATTTTGTACAAAATTTGATTCAAGAGGCGCTGGCGTGATTCCCGCCGATTTGTGACCACCATGGATGGGTGTGTCGAGTGGATTAATATCAGGAGTTTCTAGCGCGTGGAACTCTGGAAATTCAAAATTGATTCCTGGAACCTGAATCTGAGAATCCATTGAGTTTTGAAATTTTCTACAAAACTTGATTCCAGAGACGCTGGCGTGATTCCCGCCGATTTGTGACCACCATGGATGTCTGCGAGTGGTGTATTAATGTCGCCAGTTACTAGCGCGTGGAACTCTGGAAATTCAAAATTGATTCCTCGAACCTGAATCCTGAGAATCCATTGAGTTTTGAAATTTTCTACAAAACTTGATTCAAGAGGCGCTGGCGTGATTCCCGCCGATTTGTAACCACCATGGATGTCTGCGACTGTTGTATTAATGTCCGGAGTTTCTAGCGCGTGGAACTCTGGAAATTCAAAATTGATTCCTCGAACCTGAATCCTGAGAATCCATTGAGTTTTGAAATTTTCTACAAAACTTGATTCCAGAGGCGCTGGCGTGATTCCCGCCGATTTGTAACCACCATGGATGTCTGCGACTGTTGTATTAATGTCGCCAGTTTCTAGCGCGTGGAACTCTGGAAATTCAAAATTGATTCCTGGAACCTCCTGAATCTGAGAATCCATTGAGTTTTGAAATTTTCTACAAAACTTGATTCCAGAGGCGCTGGCGTGATTCCCGCCGATTTGTAACCACCATGGATGTCTGCGACTGTTGTATTAATGTCGCCAGTTTCTAGCGCGTGGAACTCTGGAAATTCAAAATTGATTCCTGGAACCTCCTGAATCTGAGAATCCATTGAGTTTTGAAATTTTCTACAAAATTTGATTCAAGAGGCGCTGGCGTGATTCCCGCCGATTTGTGACTACCATGGATGTCTGCGAGTGGTGTATTAATGTCGGGAGTTTCTAGCGCGTGGAACTCTGGAAATTCAAAATTGAACGATGGAGTCGGATTTCTTAGAATCCACCAAGCTTTGGAATTTTCTACAAAGCTAGAGGCGCAAGCGTGAATCCGGCCTACTTGTG